TTTAACAATTTTTTTTTTTTAAAGATAAAGGACAAAAGGTGTTTGCAGTTACACATTAACAAGGTCACAGTCATGTCTATTTATTAAATACAAGGATGGTAACACAAAAAATCTAGCTTGTATTGTTGTGTTACTTTTGACTCAGCTGACCGGGTCGAAAGTAACAATGAGGCACTTATGTTTAAAGTGAAATTATAAGGAAGTCGTTCTACATTTGTACAAAATATCACCTGATATTGATAGACCACACCTGTAAGTTAGTGACCACAGCAAAAACATATCTCTCTCTACAACATAATCTTTTAAAATCGCTGCTCTCCCCTACTGTGACCTGTGTTAAAGTACAAAAATTGTAGTTGAATCTACACCACAAAATGTGTTGAAACTAGTTAATTTTAAGAGGTGTAAGTTTTCTATCAACTCTCTAATTTCAGGAATCAGGCAGCAGAAATCGTTTTACCTTTCATCAGTGAGACGAGGAGGAAGAGAAGAAAGCTCCTCATTTTGTTGATCTTGGATGTTAAAATCATCAGTCAAACTATTTAACCCCAGTTGGTTTTGTCAGTTGTCTGTTTCCATTAGTTGGTTGATCTGCTGTTTCTTGACAGACCTGTTTCCTGAGATGTTACCCACCAACTTCCTATCTTCTTCCTCTTTCTGTCACTGTCACTTTGGTTATGTATATTCTGAGCATTAGCCCTGCCAGTCCCAGCAGATCAACAGCGCTCCACGTAGTGTTAAAGTGAGGCTTGTTTATGAACTGATATCACACTTGGTTGTAACATTGCATGTTGCTAAAGAGATCCAAGACCATTCTTCTTAATGGGAAATGAGGCTTTACCAAGTTCATTAATAGTTGCTTGTATTATTCATTGGTTATTATGGTTTAGTGAACTATTCACATTCTAGGTATTGACCTATGAAGTAAAACATATAGTGACAAGGTCTCATTTGAGTAATCTCAGAGTTATTTTTAGATTTTGTCAAACACAGGTACAGGAATAATGGATTTGGACTCAAATGCAGACCCTAAGGCTGAGCAGGTTAAATTTACTGTGTTCATTTTATCCAAGTGAATGTGACAAAACAGGAGGCAGGCCGTCTAGGGAATAACAATTCCAAAGAACAAGAAAAAAAAAAAAACATAAAAAAAAAAGCAATAATCCAAAATAATCAGAATAATCCATGGAAATGGAAAAAGACTCATACACAAAAGAATCAACAACATCTAGTACAGTAACAGAGACTAATCACTTTAGCATCAGCTAAATAAATTAATGTAAATCTAACTCATTCACAAATTTTTCAAGTAAACATAACTCTCAAATATTCGCCTATAATCTGGTTTACGACAGCGGTATGAACCCAAAACAAACATTTTTCTGTGGTTAAATTGCAATAACGGATCACAATGATGCCAAACTAACTAATTGATGATTTGTTAAACATATGAGTTTATGCTTTGTCAGGTCTGTCAGCAAGATGACAAGAAAACATCTTTAAAATGCTGTTTTTCTAAATGTTGTTCGTGTCGATATGCTAACTTGTTATGCACAACGATAGCTGGAGTCAAGTAAAAGACACGTATTTTCTGAACTTACCAGGTAGTTCAACTTCCTCGCTTACTTTTCTCCAAGCAGTCTCCTGTTTTGTATATGAAGTTGCATCACAGAGCAATTCAGTGGCTCACTGCAGCAGACAGGTTAATAAGCGCAAGTAAAGATGAATAAACTTTTTAATCCCAAAAAATTTTAATTTAAAAGTTAATATAATAAAAGAAAGTAACTCTGAACTCCTCCTGCTGGTAAAGGGCTCAGTACCGGAGCGACTGGGGGTGTTTATTTGTCCAAAAGCTCCGGCACCGCCCCTGGCTCTCTCCTCCGTGGGCAGCTCTGTTCCTCCACTCTGCCTGCTCCTCTACAGCCCCGTAATCACTCTTAATTTCAATGTTTTTAAATATTTTACTACCACCTTGTGAAATGCTGTCATTGCAGACATTACAAGTGAATGGACTGCTTTTGTTTTCCACCATAAAATATTTCCACGGTGGAGACATTTTAGCTGCATCCTGCCACAGACTGCTCTCTGATTATGATAGAGGAAGTGACTGGTTGGCACTTTCCAGGACTATTCAGGACCCGTACGCCTCCAGGACTCTGAAGTGTGCAGGAAAGATTGTGGCCGATTCCTCCCACCCAGGACACAAACTGTTTCTGACACTCCCCTCGGTCCATCAGGAACAAAACCTCGCGCCACAAGAACAATTTCTTTCTGATTGCAGTGGGCCTACTCAACAAAGCCCAGGTCCCCACTGTCACTAACTCTCATGCCCCCCCCCCTTTCTGATTCTGATTCTATGTCGAAGAAGTACAACGGTGGTTTGTAAAATGTGGTAGCAAATGCGCCCTTAAGCAAACACTAGCTGACTTCCTCTTCCACCACCAGTGTTTAAGTGTGTGAATGTGTGATGCACGGAAAAATATGATAACAATGGCTGCAGAGGAAACCATTAAAGGAGCATCCTGCAATGTGTCAGTACCAGAAAGTCTTCGCGCTGACCTCCACAATCACACTGTTGATTGATTGTGACCATGCAAATGTTTTTAAATAACGTCAGAATTTTTAAAATGTGGCCCTAAACTTACTTTATTGATGCTTATAAGTTAAAGGCATCTGCCAAATGAGTAAATGTAAACTGATCATGTTCAAACACCATACAGGTGTGTGCGAGTTTTAAGCTGTGACAAGTTTACTCTTGCCCAAAGCTGGGGATTGAACTCATGACCTGTCGCACATTAAAATGGCACATCAAAGTTTACCATGCTATCACCTTAGCCGTAGCACCAGAGTGCTAATGATGGTCACAATTTCACGAATTTTTAATGAATTTGTATGTGCATTTGCTTTTACGATGGAGCTTTTCAGCTGTCATTCTGGTATTTTTAGTAGCTGAGCATGAGAATATGTGTCATGAGCTACTTTTATGTGGCATGAGTTGGCTTTTATCAAGCCAGCTAGCTCGACCCCACCTGGACTTACCTGCTGTAGGTTCCCTTGAAGGTCAGCTCTGTTGCAGATGAACAATGGCGGAAATTCATGACAAGAAATGAACGCAAAGCGATTTGGGACGGTTTAGTTGTATTGCTTGTTTGGAGTTTTGCTTGAAGGTTGAACTCGTACCTCAAGCTGAGCCGAGGTTTGATCCCACGTCTCCAGGTCTCCGGTCGGCGTCCTTCCCCACTGGACCTTCTTCAGCACTGATGAGGATGAACAACCAGAGAGAGGAAGAAGATCAGACTGAGGAAGGAACCTGCAGAAACTTCCCCTTCATCAGTATGGAGAGGAAACTTTGGATGGATGAACTTTCTGAAATTTAGTTTATAATAATCATGTTGTTGAGCTGTCTGAGCTGCTGGTCTCATAATGTTCAGGTGAAACCAGATCCTGCTGTTGTCTTTTCCCAGGTAGTGTAGATTTTACCCTGGTGAACTGGGTTTAATTCCAGCGTTGGGAAAAGGTGGTGCAACTGCTCTTTATCTTTGTTCTTTTACACAGTGTGAAGAAAAGATTTGAATCCAAACATGCTTCTAAACCAGCAAGTGCTCATTTGCTAAGACACACTAAATGAAACTGGGATCTGCTTGATCTTCATCATCACATTATTGAATTGCTGAACAAAAAGAAAACATCTAATCACAGTTGATCTCTATGCACCTGTGTGAAACTCATTTGCACAACTCTTCAATCAGCAGTCAGTCCTCATACATCTATAAAAGAGGCCACCTCTGTGTTGCTATTTGCAAGCATGGATCATTTTTCTTAGGGAATAATGGAGCTTGAAGCTGAAGGGGCACATCACAAATTCATTTTTGTGGATGAAGCCAGCTTCAACCTCTGTGAAGTGAGGAGACGCAGGAGGAACATCGTTGGGCAGAGGGCCACTGTCACAGTACCAGGTCAGAGGGCTGCCAAGATCACCATGTGTGCTGCCTTCTCCAATGATGGGGTCCTTTGCTACATACCAACTATTGGCCCATACAATACAGAAAGCCAACAATCACATTTCTTGATGCATTGAAAGAAATACTGATTCCACCCGAAGAGAGAGGGCGGTTGAGGCCTGGCGAGGCTCCATATGTCATAATTTGGGACAATGTGGCTTTCCACCACTCTCGCCTTGTGAATGAATGGTTTGCAGCACAGCCTCGTATTATGATGCAATTCCTCCCTGCATACTCGCCTTTTCTGAACCCACTCGAGGAGTTCTTCTCTGCTTGGAGGTGGAAGGTGCATGATCACCGGCCATGTGAGCAGATGCCCCTCCTGGAGGCAATGAATGCTGGTTGCCTGGCAATAGGTGCAGAGGACTGCCAGAGATGGATACGCCATGCAAGAAGGTATTTCCCTCGGTGCATTGCAAGGGAAAACATTCAATGCGATATCGATGAGAAACTGTGGCATAATCGTCAAGAACGAATGGACTGAATGTGAAAGATAAAAAATATATATATATATATATATATTTTTTTTTTAAAGGTATTTCCACCCATAAGTTTCTTTTGGTAGCTTTTTTATTTCCAGTATGCATTTGAGTTTGTAAAGTAGAATATTTCATATTGATGGTTGTATTTTCTTGTCCATTGTGGTCCTAATGATTGAGTGAAAGAAAAAATAAATTTGACCACAAGTTGTGGCGTTTGATGGAAATATTTGCTTATGTTGCATGTTTTTAATGTTTTGTGAGTGTTAGAGCATTTTGCTAACAAAATGAATCACGTTGGCCATTGAGCTTCAGTTTTATCCTGTGTGTTAACTGTTTTGAAAATGTGATGTCAGAGTGGGCAGATGTGTTTAAGCAATCGAGAAAAACTGTAATGAAATGTATGAGGTTGATTGCTCTTATGTAGTATGTTGTTATATGATACTTTGGCAATATTGTTGTTACACATTCATGCCAATAAAGCTAATTTGATTTGAATTATACTTGTATGCGAACAATATGAATAAAGTTTGACTTTATTTAACTTTGATTTTTGACAACGTGGTCAACCGCTTTGCATTTATCAACTTATGCAATGAACTTATGCCAAGATGTTTTGGTGTATAAGACTCTTCAACAGAGACTGGTATAATAGATTGTGATCAGCATGACATTAGCAATTGATAATGTAGGTAACAGCAGACAATTGTACATAATCACTTGCATCGATGTGTCAAAGCATTGGCAATTTGTTCAAAAGAATGAGAAATTGCTTTTTATGATGTGCACAGGTGACGAGATGATGTGGAGGTTGAACAAGTAGTTTTGAGAATTTCTATTCTGATCTGAGAAATGTGCCAAGGTGATGCACCCATAGTTACACAGGATACTGCACTAGTGGAGCAAAAGAATATGATCTTATTTAGATATTCAGCATGCTAAGGTTAAGTTACTATTTATACATTTTTAGGTGATAGTTGCATCTTTCAATTTATTTTGATGACATGTTTTCTGTGGAAACAGGTTGTCTTGGTGAAAAGGTGGCAGCATGCATTGTCATCTCCCACAGTGTCAGTCATAATATTGGCAGCAGATGGCACTAAAATTAAATAAATCAAACCCTGCAGATACAGTTAATTCAGTGTAAGAGATAAAATGAAGAGACTGTTACTGGTATTGTAAATAATCAGCAACATTTCACTGACTGTTGTTTGTACTGTATAAAACACAGTATGACACAAAACATGTCTCATTTCATTAAAGCTTTTCCTTTTACTATACAAAGCCCATGAGTCATTAGTTGTGCAGATATTTCATCATAAAGGATTGAACAAATAAACATTTGATCTGATGATGACACCAGATGAAAATCAAAGTTATTACATTTCATCCTGAGAGGTACATACGGTAAATGTCTGAACCAAACTTCACTGCAATCCTTCCAAGAGTTGAAATATTTACTTAAAAACATAAATGTCAAAATACGTTTTTGAGAATAAATGTCAAAATATTGAAATACGTGGCTCATAAACATAATTCTTCAAACATTTGTTGTTACCCATCGTCCGAAACTAAAAACAATACCAATAATAAGATAATAATCAGCTGTAATATGGTTGTAAACAACCACATCAGAAATAAATGACTTAATATCTTGACCATACATGTAAATGTCATAAATTCCTAACAGGGCTGAGCTTTGCTCAGTGCTGCTGTGGCTTGTTGACTGTTGTGTAGAGAGGATCCTCTGAAGAGCTGGACGGCTGGTTGACTGTACAGTAGGCTGGATTTTGCTTCACAGTAGAATATTCGCACGCAGCAGAGCTGGGTTTGAGGATCACTGTCTCACCACCAACTCTGTCAGAGCTGCTTTGGAAGTTGATGGTAGAGTAATGCAGCGAGGCAGAGGGGTTTGTGGGAAAGTTGGCAGTGGCATAAATCGTGTTCATCTCATTTCCTGAGTCTGGAGCCTGGACGGGCTGCTGTATCTCCTCGTAGACATAATCCTACCGAGTAAGAATGAAAAATGTAGTCTGAACAAATCATGTTGAATCCATATAATAAGTACTGACCATATAAAATATCCTCAACATCATCATTTAAATTACAAATAGATTAATAGTTGGAAAGATTAATTCCAGGACCTCTAGTTTTACTGTGGTGTCATTTGGTTTTACAGACTAGTGCAAACATCAGCACAGGTTTGTACAAAGCCAGGAGTAACCAATTTAAAAGGTGCTTTCAATAAAATAAAATTTAAAAGAACAATAGCTGTGTCGGTTGTCCCCGTGCCACACCAGCATCTTCAACACATTCTCACTCCCGACGTGTCACATTTTGACGCTTGGTTAAGGTGTCGCCTTTTACCGCCCTGGGTACCCCTTTTGCGTAATTTTTTGACGTTTAGGGCTCCACGGTCAAGTTCCCAACGCTTAGCTACAACAAATATACAACTTTGTTTCACATGGGACATGAACACCGCTCTCCTGGTTCAAAGTCGTGGTTCTGGCCCTCCATCCACCCCAACCACCTCCTTACTCAGTGTTTTCATATACGTGCCTTTACCATCTTAAACTGGCGCTACAGGGCTTCCCCCACTACGTTGAACTATGAGGCTAAAGGGTTCCCCTGTGTGTTACAAAGTGACAACGATGATTCTTGACCATGCGTCCGTATGTGACGAGTTGGGAGTGAGGCTGGCTTCTGATATGTGCCGGAAGGCCCTGATCACATTCACACTGTTACACATTCACACCTGGAAGTTGCCCAGTACAACTGCAGCCTGGTCTGCTGGGGTTATGGGCCTTGCCCAAGGGCACCTCGGTGGTGGTAAATGAGGGAGGGCAAGAACTGTTTGGTTTACTTTCCACACCCTGATTTTATTCTGCCTCCCGGTCACAAGCTCACTTACCTCTGGTATCTGTACATTTCAGATTTCAAAGACAAATTATTTTTCTCATTCAAGTGAAATAATAAATATGAAATGAAATACAGTATATCTTGTTGTAGCTACTCTGCAGTGGGTTTCTGATCATTATCTCATGTGGTAACAGTATAATACTTTATAGGGAATATTTCATTTACAAGTTATCCTCCTGTGTTTCTGTTCAGAAAGTCTGAAGGAAAACTGGAAAGAAATGTGCTTGCCAGTTGGTAATCTGAGATCATAGTGCACCTGAATCTAAATCTGACGACGGTAAGTAAAATATGCATAACAAACACACAACAGGATCTCCACACATAGCAAAAAGGGAGATTTTGTCACTGAAAGAGTGAAAATGCTGCATCCTTGTTGGCCAATATTTATTTACATTATTTTTGTCTTTGTCCAAGAAGTTTTTTCTTATACTTCCAACCCAAATAATTAAATATCAGGCATCATTCAGAAATGAGTAATCCAGCTTTTGCACAATTTGTTCAGTGAGATCTGTTCCACCTACCACAGAGACATTCATTTATACACTGACCTCTCTGATGTTCTGTGCTGCTGCTCCTTTTCTTGTGTTCATTAAATGTGAAAATCCTGGAAGAACAAAAAAGAAGAGAACAAAAAAGAAATAAACAAATAGATTTAAGGACATAAAATGGATTGATTTCACCACTTTTCATCAAATTTAGACACAGTCTCTCTAGCTACCTAATCCACCTGTACTGTCCAGGTAAGTTACATTGGAGCTGGTGTAAATGTGGTTTTCTGTGTTTCTTCTGCAAACTGGTAATAACTCTTACGTTTGTAGATTAGGATCAAAATCAACACAAACAGCAGCAGCAGCACAGCTACACAGACGATCACAGTAACGACGACCTGAGAGCCACCTGCAAGATAAACCACAAAAAAATGTCCAGACGTGTTTAAAAAACATTAAATATGCGTTATTAACATTCAGATTTGTTTGTGTTGAGTAAATTTAAGTGGACATTTACAGAATTTGAATTTTAAATTTAGGGGTGGTGATGGAGCAGTGGATAATCCACACGCCTTTGATGTGTGAGATTGTGATACATCCATCAGTGTGTCCATGAACAAGACACTTAACCCCTAGTTGTTCCAGAGGCGTGCAACCTCTGATATATATAGCAATTGTAAGTCGCTTTGGATAAAAGTGTCAGCTAAATGAATACATGTAAATGTTCCTCTTCCCCCTCCTCTTGTTCTTCTGCTGCAGAAGGTTTATAATTTCAAACATGCTCTCTTACAACGACTCTCAGCAGACACAGTAGTTGACAAAGCAGCGTCTACCAGCAGATTTTAGAACACTTCATGCTTCCATCTATTAACAAGCTTGATAGAGATGCTGATTTCCTTTTCCAGCAGGATTTGGCATCATTTTTCAGAACCTTTCAAAATTAACATTGTTTTACATTTTCTATATAAATATAAATATAAAAACAAAGAAAGGCCTGAAATATTTCCCATTTTATGATGCTGACTCACTGTTATGACTGACTGGGACACTTAAATAGAAAAAGATCATCATTATTGTTAATAAAACCTTTTTCTACTGTGACAAGTCAAAACATTTGCTTTGAATACAGTCTACTGTGTAACAGTCTTTATAGACCTGTTTAAAACACAGTCATCATCATCTGGAGCTGTGTTGAGTTAGTAATGAAGAACAGTTTGCTTCTTCACATACAGTATAATTTTTTATTATTTTGTCTTTCAATGAAAATATGATAATTGAGGTAAAACAAAATGTGACACATTCTGTTTCACAATGATGTTCTCATTTTTACTTGTGTTAATAATCCAGTGTGTTATGTGGCCTATTTGTTCAGCTGGAGCAAAGATGATGGGCAGAGAGCTTTTTGTCATCAAGAAAGTTAAAACCAATTCAGCTGTTAGACGATCCTTTCACACTGTGGCAGACCCTAAACTCATTCAAATAAGTCAGGAGAGAGTCATAAGCATATGACAGCATGCACACAGACAGTGTGTCGCTGGTCATCAAGCACGTTCAAAACTCTGATGTATCACGCAGAGAAAACAGAATAACAGGACACGGTGAAGCCCGTGATGCCACTGAACATGTTACTACATTTACTTTTTTGATTTTCAGTAGAGTTGTATTTAAACTTTAAGGAAATCCACTGTTTAATTTTGAAAAATATTTCTAAAGTCAACGACTAATCGTGTTAATTAATTGTGATCTGAATATTGACCAAAATATAGTGATTTTTGCCATAATAGAACAGGTCCAATGGGATGCTCTTGCCATGACTGAGAGGTAAAATGTAAGTGTTACGTTAAAGACGACTCTGTTAAATACGGGTTATTACCATTCAGATTTGTTTGTGTTGAGTAGATTTAAGTGGACATTTACAGAACTTAAATATTAAATTTAGGGGTGGTGATGGAGCAGTGGATAATCCACATGCCTTTGATGTGTGAGATTGTGATACATCCATCAGTGTGTCCATGAACAAGACACTTAACCCCTAGTTGTTCCTGAGGCGTGCAACCTCTGATATATATAGCAATTGTAAGTCACTTTGGTCCAGGAAATGAGCTACAAGTGTCTCATTCATTTTTTTTAACACACACACACACACATACACACACACACACGCTTACTGTTTTATTTATTTATTTTATTTTAACTTTTTAATATATTTTTGTTTACACACAGAGATGCTTAATGTTTTATTTATTTATTTTATTAAATTTTTTAAAATATATTTAAATTTTTCTTACACAAACACACATATGCTTTAATTATTTTACACTTTAATTACTTGTTTAATGAAATGTATGGGGTTGATTGTTCTTATGTAGTTTGTAAGATGCTTTGGCAATATTGTTGTTACACATTCATGCCAATAAAGCTAATTTGAATTGAATTGAATTGAATGAGACTGAGTTTATTTAGCCGCTTCAGTTCCAGGGTCCTGGTGTTGTTCATGCTGACTCACTGTTATGACTTTCTGGGACAATTAAATAGAAAAGGATACATAATTATTGTTAATAAAACCTTTTTCTACTGTGACAAGTCAAAACATTTGCTTTGAATACAGTCTACTGTGTAACAGTCTTTATAGACCTGTTTAAAACACAGTCATCATCATCTGGAGCTGTGTTGAGGAATTTAGGAGTACATTTTAAAAGTTTTTAAAACATTCCTCCTCCCACGCCTCTTGCTCTTCTGCAGCAGAAGGTTTAAGATATCAAACATGCTCTCTTACCACGACTCTCAGCAGACACAGTAGTTGACTGGGTTGAAATAACAGGAGATGTGGATGAAGTTGGTGATACTGAAAAAAATAGCAAAATTGATAGAAAACTCTTGGAGCAAATTTAGACGTCTTTTTTTTCTTTACATTTATTAAATTGGCCTTGAGTTTAAATTTCATATTAATTTAGCTGCTTCAGTTTCAGCGTCCTGGTGTTGTTCATGCTGACTTGTGACTTACTGGGACACTTGACATAGAAACCATCACTATTATTATATTACTAACCTGTGCTCTTCCTGCTGTGACAATTCAAAACATCTGCTATTAAAAAAACATCTATTGTGTTACAGACCTTTTGTAGTAACAGTAAAATTAATAGTTGACATTGTGGAAAATTCTCTGATTTCTTTTCTCACAGAAAGTTCTCTTTACAGCCAGTTTGGAACAGGAACACTTTCTAAACATGCATAGTGAAACACTCAACAGTAGATCTGTGTTGATAAAACTCAACAGCTTTTTGGTTGTTGCTCATACAGTCCTGCTGCTCATGTCACTGCAGAACGCTGCTCTGAACATGTGCAGGAAATGAAAACAAGAGCATAAATAGCATCAAGTGATCTTGATGCAGACTGAGTCTGCCAGTGACAGGGTATCACAGCTGACTGCCATTTGAAAAAAAGTCAAATACTTTAAGGATAATTAAGTGGCTTATTAGTACAGTATAATTTTTAATTATTTTGTCTTTCAATGAAAATATGATAATTGAGGTAAAACAAATGTGACACATTCTGTTTCACATGATGTTCTCATTTTTACGTGTTAATAATCCAGTGTGTTATGTGGCATATTTGTTCAGCTGGAGCAAAGATGATGGGCAGAGAGCTTTTTGTCATCAAGAAAGTTAAAACCAATTCAGCTGTTAGACGATCCTTTCACACTGTGGCAGACCCTAAACTCATTCAAATAAGTCAGGAGAGAGTCATAAGCATATGACAGCATGCACACAGACAGTGTGTCGCTGGTCATCAAGCACGTTCAAAACTCTGATGTATCACGCAGAGAAAACAGAATAACAGGACACGGTGAAGCCCGTGATGCCACTGAACATGTTACTACATTTACTTTTTTGATTTTCAGTAGAATTGTATTTAAACTTTAAGGAAATCCACTGTTTAATTTTGAAAAATATTTCTAAAGTCAACGACTAATCGTGTTAATTAATTGTGATCTGAATATTGACCAAAATATAGTGATTTTTGCCATAATAGAACAGGTCCAATGGGATGCTCTTGCCATGACTGAGAGGTAAAATGTAAGTGTTACGTTAAAGACGACTCTGTTAAATACGGGTTATTACCATTCAGATTTGTTTGTGTTGAGTAGATTTAAGTGGACATTTACAGAACTTAAATATTAAATTTAGGGGTGGTGATGGAGCAGTGGATAATCCACATGCCTTTGATGTGTGAGATTGTGATACATCCATCAGTGTGTCCATGAACAAGACACTTAACCCCTAGTTGTTCCTGAGGCGTGCAACCTCTGATATATATAGCAATTGTAAGTCACTTTGGTCCAGGAAATGAGCTACAAGTGTCTCATTCATTTTTTTTAACACACACACACACGCATACACACACACACACACGCTTACTGTTTTATTTATTTATTTTATTTTAACTTTTTAATATATTTTTGTTTACACACAGAGATGCTTAATGTTTTATTTATTTATTTTATTAAATTTTTTAAAATATATTTAAATTTTTCTTACACAAACACACATATGCTTTAATTATTTTACACTTTAATTACTTGTTTAATGAAATGTATGGGGTTGATTGTTCTTATGTAGTTTGTAAGATGCTTTGGCAATATTGTTGTTACACATTCATGCCAATAAAGCTAATTTGAATTGAATTGAATTGAATGAGACTGAGTTTATTTAGCCGCTTCAGTTCCAGGGTCCTGGTGTTGTTCATGCTGACTCACTGTTATGACTTTCTGGGACAATTAAATAGAAAAGGATACATAATTATTGTTAATAAAACCTTTTTCTACTGTGACAAGTCAAAACATTTGCTTTGAATACAGTCTACTGTGTAACAGTCTTTATAGACCTGTTTAAAACACAGTCATCATCATCTGGAGCTGTGTTGAGGAATTTAGGAGTACATTTTAAAAGTTTTTAAAACATTCCTCCTCCCACGCCTCTTGCTCTTCTGCAGCAGAAGGTTTAAGATATCAAACATGCTCTCTTACCACGACTCTCAGCAGACACAGTAGTTGACTGGGTTGAAATAACAGGAGATGTGGATGAAGTTGGTGATACTGAAAAAAATAGCAAAATTGATAGAAAACTCTTGGAGCAAATTTAGACGTCTTTTTTTTCTTTACATTTATTAAATTGGCCTTGAGTTTAAATTTCAGATTAATTTAGCTGCTTCAGTTTCAGCGTCCTGGTGTTGTTCATGCTGACTTGTGACTTACTGGGACACTTGACATAGAAACCATCACTATTATTATATTACTAACCTGTGCTCTTCCTGCTGTGACAATTCAAAACATCTGCTATTAAAAAAACATCTATTGTGTTACAGACCTTTTGTAGTAACAGTAAAATTAATAGTTGACATTGTGGAAAATTCTCTGATTTCTTTTCTCACAGAAAGTTCTCTTTACAGCCAGTTTGGAACAGGAACACTTTCTAAACATGCATAGTGAAACACTCAACAGTAGATCTGTGTTGATAAAACTCAACAGCTTTTTGGTTGTTGCTCATACAGTCCTGCTGCTCATGTCACTGCAGAACGCTGCTCTGAACATGTGCAGGAAATGAAAACAAGAGCATAAATAGCATCAAGTGATCTTGATGCAGACTGAGTCTGCCAGTGACAGGGTATCACAGCTGACTGCCATTTGAAAAAAAGTCAAATACTTTAAGGATAATTAAGTGGCTTATTAGTACAGTATAATTTTTAATTATTTTGTCTTTCAATGAAAATATATAATTGAGGTAAAACAAATGTGACACATTCTGTTTCACAATGATGTTCTCATTTTTACGTGTTAATAATCCAGTGTGTTATGTGGCATATTTGTTCAGCTGGAGCAAAGATGATGGGAAGAGAGCTTTTTGTCATCAAGAAAGTTAAAACCAATTCAGCTGTTAGACGATCCTTTCACACTGTGGCAGACCCTAAACTCATTCAAATAAGTCAGGAGAGAGTCATAAGCATATGACAGCATGCACACAGACAGTGTGTCGCTGGTCATCAAGCACGTTCAAAACTCTGATGTATCACGCAGAGAAAACAGAATAACAGGACACGGTGAAGCCCGTGATGCCACTGAACATGTTACTACATTTACTTTTTGATTTTCAGTAGAATTGTATTTAAACTTTAAGGAAATCCACTGTTTAATTTTGAAAAATATTTCTAAAGTCAACGACTAATCGTGTTAATTAATTGTGATCTGAATATTGACCAAAATATAGTGATTTTTGCCATAATAGAACAGGTCCAATGGGATGCTCTTGCCATGACTGAGAGGTAAAATGTAAGTGTTACGTTAAAGACGACTCTGTTTTCTTTAAGTGTCCCAGTCAGTCATGACAGTGAGCCAGCATGAACAGGACCCTGAAACTGAAGCAGCTAAATGGAATTCAGTCATCATTAATTTTATTATTTACATCTGTGTTTTTTTCTGTGATGTAAAAATGTATTCACTGTTTATTGCTGCCAAGTACGTTCTGCACTTTACCACAGAGAAAACCAACCCAGATTATATTACTGCTTCTTTTACTTTACCTGTCACCATGGTGAATCATTGTACAGGAGATCCATTGATGAATGCTTTATTTATTTATCATGCTGCATGTATGATAAATAAATAAACATCCTCAGAGTTGATTGAACTGATAGTCAACTCAGAGTTCGGGGTTTGTTAAACCTGCTTTCTGAAACAGGACCCTGAAACTCTTGTTACGGCCGCCGCTGGCTGCCTTAGAGTAGTTGTGTTTTGGAGTTCTCTGAGCTGTATGCAAATCCCCACGGCAAGCACCTGTCGAGGATTGGTTCCCCTGGACCTGGAACCACCCACTTCCTGGTTGCTGTTTGCTGGCGTCTGATTGGTGTGGCCGAGGAGCCTACCGAACCTGCCAACCAGAACTCACCAATCAACACCAGCTGGCCTACAAGTAGTTTGTGTTCCTGCAGTTCGAGGCGACTGTGAGCCAGTGATCAGTTCGCCTTGTTGTTGGTTGTGTACCCCTGTGAATGTCTTGAGTGTTTAAATCTGATCTGTTTGTCGGTTGCCGGCTTAAGTGACTCTTGTCAGTAAAAACCTTTGTGAACTAGAGTGTGAGTGGCACCCTTTAAGGGGGAAAATTGTTTGTTTGGTTACACTACATTCCTGTACAGCATGTAGGTACTGACCTCCTTTTGTTAAGTGTTTTTTTGTCAGTACCTACATAGCCTCCTTTTGTTGTGTTTTTTTTGGAGACAACTCATTTAATTAAACTTTGACTCAACTTGAATTCAGTTGTCCTTACCACCTTAATTTAACCCAAATACCTTGTTACTGCCCTACCCTAACGAGCTGGGTTGTAACACTCTATTGAATGAAAACATAATATTTATTCAAATAACTTTTTAAGATGAAATAAAAGTCCAGCAGTAATCAATCACTACTAAAGCTTTCTTTTCATGCTCGTCCTCCCTCAGTTGCCCTCCTACAATCTGAACCAGGGTCAGATTACATCCACACAATAAAACAACATCACTCACCTACAATCATCACCATTTTGTGGAAGAATTTGTTGCTGAGTGTTTCGTTAGTGCTTTCTGCTCCACACCAGTATGTCCCAGTGTCGTCTGTTGTTACTTCTCTCACTGTTATGGTATATTTCTTGTCTTTGTCCTCCTTCATGGAAAACCTCCCAGTGTTCTTGTTGCGCTGTGCGGTGCTTACTAGAGGTTGACATATAGATGGATCTTCTCCCTTACAGATGAACATGTTTGTCAGAGAATCACTTCGATTTTTACAATAGTATGTGAGATTTTGTCCAACAGTTGGAGACTTTGTAAAGTTAGTAATAAAAGCTGTAGAGAGACAGACAGACAGACAGCATTTGAGTGACAACATATTTCAGAGACACCAAAATTATCTGTGTGAGTAAATCAAAGCTAAAAGTGTCAGATGTTTGCTGCTCACCTTTAACTTCCAGCTTTATCTTTCTGAGAGAAGCTCTGTAACTTCCTTCATGTGTTTCCACTCCACACCAGTAGACACCAGCATCATGTGAGGACACGTTACTGATGGACATGCTGAAGCCACTCTTGGTTTCTGTGAGAGTGAATGTCCCCTTTGACTTCAGAGAGGATTTTGTTGATAAAATATCTTCACAGATGAAACCGTTGTCTTTGCAGAAGAACTTGTATTTGTTTCCTGTGTAATTACATCTGATGGTGGTTTTAGCTGTTCTGTACGCAGTTTGAATAAATTGTCTCTGGCAGTCGCCTGTCTCTGCAAATAAACAAGGCAAAAAAGTGAAATGTAAGTAAGTAGGAAAATGTTGTTTCTAGAGCACCTTTTAAAACCAGAAGTATCATGTTCTTCACAGGTGCACAGAAAATCCCAAAATATAAAACACAGCAAGAATTCAAAGGAGTGGTTAAACATAAGAAAATATAAAAAGAACAACACAAAACCGCAGTTTGATACATGTGGAGTAGTTGTTACATGTTATGTTAGAATATTTATGTTTATTTGTTGAATTATATTTGTATTTCTCTTACCAACTTCCAATTCCAGTTTCTTGATTTCATTGTTAAATTTACACGTGTACGTCCCAGAGTCCTCTTGCTGTATTTGTTTAATGGCCACCCTGAGAGTTTTACTTTTTGTATCATGGTACAGTGATACAGTGTTGTTTTCCCAAACATCCTTTTTAGTGCTTTTTATGGTTGTGTTTTTGGGAATAACTACATTAATATGTTTATATGTTTCAGTTGTTTTTGGATATTTGCAGGTGAATTCAACCCATCCTTTTCTGCATCCCTTCACTTTAGACTCGTCAGACGAGGCCTCACAACCTGTAGATCAGACAAAGACAAAAGTTCACATCATGTCAGACACGGAAACAATCCCAGAGCAACTGCAGCAGTCTGAATGAACTCTTTCTGCATCAGTAGATCACAAAGATGAATCAGTTAATGGCTGTAGGAGGAAATATAGAGTGTGAGGATGAGCTCTGCTGTTATTAGTTTCTACTGTCTTTTAAACTTCTTTAGTCTTGTTGATCACAATACTGCTCTGGAAAACTACCCTCCTGTTGTTGGTTTTTTTTTTTTAAAGCTGTGACTATCTGGACCAATCAGCTGGTAAAACAGAGTAAATATTGGGGCTCACATTGTTCAGGTGGCCAGACACTCGGCTCAAAATGAATGCTGGTATTGCTGTGTTTCTGCTGGATGTGTTTGGATCAACAGTTTGCTAACAAGTTCACCGTGTAAACTTTTAGCTCGTGTTCATTGTTTCTAAATGGCCAATACTTAGTAAATGCAGATGATAAAATAGGGCTGATTTGTTTAAATGGCTTTGTTTAAAAATGTACTGGATTAAACTGGAATCTATCCAAATGTAAATACTGTATTCAAAGCTTAGCTACCTCAAGGCAGCAGTTCTAAGCTGCAAACCTTTCAGTGTGGTCCATGACATCTGTAAACATCTCAGAATTATAAGGTGGTGGTGATACAGGCCAAGTTTCTTGGAAATGTTGACAATGAATGATACCCAGGGCCATACAAACAGGGGTCGTAAGGCTTCATATTCACATAAATTAGTTACATTAGTGTCTAACAGAGTCTCTGAGCAAGAGTCCAATTCAAGTCTCAAGTCTCTCGTGGTTATTACAAATGTTGCATCACCTGCTGCATTCAATCCAGGTTGCTTATAAAACTGCATGGCTATAAGGAATTCTGTAACTGTAACCTGTTTTTCATTTACAGAGCACAACCATGCAATGTGCAATGCAATTATTGACGGCTTATTAAATACTGGATGTCAACACATTCCCAGACTCTTAAACCCCATATAACGTTAACTAAATAAAACTGTGAAGTTGCATAATCAACAATAAACCTGTAACCTGTTTTTAACTTACAGAGCACAACCATGTAGCCTAATGTACAATGCATCTACAATTAATGACAGCTTATAAACTACTGTAAGTCAACAAACCCTGTTGACTCTCAAACCCAGTGTAAAGTTAACTAAATAAAACTGTCACCTGTTTTTAACTTACAGTGCAGAACCATGTAAGCAGCAGATACTACGTGTTACGTGGGCAGGTTATAGGTAACGGAGGGAGGGAATTAACATCAGACGCTTCCTAAAAACAAACATTTTGCACGAGTCCTGCACCTCGAATCCGAGTCGAGTCTGAAGTCGTTCGAGTCCGAGTCCCTAACTCGAGTCCGAGCGTCCGGTGTCTAAACAGCCCAGCAAACACCTGGTGTTTTTCTAGTATTTACCTGCATTAACTGTAGAGCTGCAGCCATTGATTGATTAATCTGTTGATTATTTTCATTATTAATGTATTAATTTCAAAAAATGGTGAAATAAAAAAAAGCTCATCAGTGTTCCCTAAAACCCATGATGACTTCCTTAAATGTCTTATTTTGTCAGTGACCCAATAATATTCAGTTTACTGTCATAGAGGAGTAAAGAAACCAGAAGATATTCACGTTTAAGGGTTTAAGAAGCTGGAATGAGAGTTTTTTAAATACTCAAACTGACTGATCAATTATCAAAAGACTTGGCGATTTAATCAAATCGAATCTTTGCTGCTCTAATTAATTGTATTGTCATTCATAATTCTGCCATTACAATTATATACCGAACAGTGAATTTCCGGTCCTTTTTTGAATATTGCTGCCACAGTTAGGGCAGCTAGAAATGTTATCATGAGTTTGGTTTTTGCACCTGTTTGGATCTTCTGAACATACAGGACTACACGACTTTCACTTCTGGTTGTATTTTCTTCACGTTTAAGAGTAGACACCACAACAAATAAGTCTGAATTCTTGTTGCGTCCTTGTTCAATATTAGAAAACCATGTTTAAGTCTTTCTGAGTTGTCAAAAACAATTCCACATGAATTCATTAAAAAGCATTACCTCCTGTGTACAAAGAGATGTTTTCATTAACAGACTGGATGTTGTATCATATTCAGACATCAGCTCTGATGGCTGCACATTCAGATATTCAAATCACAAAAACTACCTGTGTAGTTACCTTTTATTGACAGACTGTAGGTTGGATCAGTGTTGTGTAGGATGAATTAGTAAATCAGAAAATATGTTTATATGAGCATTACTTATAGAAGGAAGGGTAGAACCCTGTTGGTTTTACTTTGTGAACCAGAACAATGCTGCATAATATGTAGCTGAATCCACAAACAGGATGTATTAAAACTTCTTAAATACTAAGAGGCTGTAACAGTTTTCTATCAAATCTGTAAAATCAGGAGTCAGGCAGCAGAAATCTTTTTACCTGTCAGTAGTGAGAGAAGGACGAGAAGAAAGTTCCTCATTTTGTTGATCTTGGATGTTGAAATCTTCAGTCAAACTAACTCCATTTGGTTTTGTCAGTTCCTCTTTAAATTGGTTGGTTGCTGTTTCTGCGCAGACCTATTTCCTGAGATGTTACACACCCAACTTCTTATCTTCTTCCTCTTCCTGTCACTGACCCTTCAGTTTTGTATATGACAAGCATTAGTCCTGCACTGTAAAAATTTCAAGGCTCTGAAAACTCAAAATTTCACAGCAAGATAACTTATCTTTCATTTGTATAAAAACTTAACAATTTTGAGCTCTACGTACTATATATTCCCATCAAAAATGTCAAACCAATTAAATATCTTTTGTTCAGATAAATTATCTTTCATATGTATAAAAACTCAAAATTTCAAGGGAACTTACTGCACTAGATTTTTTAGTTTTGAGGATAATCAAAAACCATAAACAAAGCCACTTCAATTTCCATGTTTATTTTCAACAAACATTAAAGAAACACATGACTGTATCATTCAAGATGGATCCATGCAAGTCCAGTGTAAACTTTTAAGACAGGCATTTAAAAGAGTGTACATATACATCTGACAACCAATTTCAACATTCATCCACCATTGTGTCCCTGAGCAAGACACTTAACCCCTAGTTGCTCCAGAGGCGTGTGACCTCTGACATGTATAGCAATTGTAAGTCGCTTTGGATAAAAGCGTCAGGAAAATGTAATTTACACTGAGAAGTGTTCGAAATATTTAGTCCATCCTATGCATATATAAATAAAGTACAGTTGACAAAATGTTAAGATCACCTCTCAGTATAACCCCATGGTTAACTAGCACCATAAACAGCCTTCAAATTGACCATTAAAATAATTTAATACCTCTGTCAAACAGATTCAATAAACCTACCACTACAATACCTATCAAAGAAAGGTTTTAATGCAGAGCCATTGTATTGCATTAGTTTTGTGTTATGTGTACCTAAGAGTGTGCAACATAACAAGCAAATGCCTTGACAAAATGACATGGTGGGTGGGGCACACTTAAATACATTTATGGGAAACACCTGTAGGGTAACGTTATATAAATTATGCTAGTTAGCAGTATTTATTTTGATGTAATACATAAACGAATAGTGGTTCAAAGTTCTCTGAGCTCTGACAATCAGCTGATTGCCCTATGCACTTCTGAACCATGCATAGCGACTCTGCGGTCCATATAGACATGGAATTTATCAAACCATTGTTTACCATGCTAACATTAGCTGACTACTTAGTTAGCAGGCAAGCTACAGCGTAGCATCAAGCACATGATTAAACAAAAGAATTAAACATGTGACTACTGCAAAGCCGGACTTTCAGTACTATATTTACATTCAAACAAAATACTCACCTTTTTGACTTCAGGTTGTCTTGAAGAACTGGAGAGCTGTCCCGGTATGTCTAACACTGACATGTGAATGAAAACCCCTGCAGGACCGGTTAGGAAACCCCTAAGGATGGCGACACTTGACACTGACATGCCGACGCTGTGTCGACATCCCGAAGCACAGACGTTTCGCAAACACTGCTCCAAAGCGTGGTTCAAAACGTCAATGTCACGTGACCATAGTGAAGCGAGGCTTCGGTGAGTTTCACCCCTGTTTCGACACCTGCCGCTTCTTGATTCACAGTGTTTGGAACAAACCGCACACCAGCCTCTAACATTTGACAGATTTGTTCCAAGGACACACAATCATTTGATTTCATGTAGCAACGTGCTGTAGTATATCCTCACCTGTAGGCCTATGATGGCAACAAAAAAAATACTTATCTTTGCCAGCAACAAATGTTCCATCTGACCAAATTTTTCCAATGCTGGGGATGTCAATTCTGAAAAAAAAAACAGACTCAGCCTCAAAACAGCTGAATATTTCTGAATACAATTCTTGTAACTATTTTAACAAAGTTTACAATGCCATTTATTATTTTTTGTTTAGTTTAATCAAAAATCTAATCAAGCAATTTCAAGTTTTCATTTTTGCAGTGTGTCAGGCTTTTAAAAAAACTGATGGATGGATGATTTGTCAAGGGCAGATACGGGAATCATGGATCTGGACCCAAATGCAGACACTGAGGCCAGATTCACCAAATTCACTTTTAGGGCTGTCCCCAACTAAGGATTTACGTAGTCGAATCAGAATAGTCAAGTCCTGCCTATAGTCGACTGGTAGTCACGGCGATTGCGGGGGTGGGGGGGGGGTTACACACGGTAGCAATTTAACACAACTCGGCACAACACTGTGAAGCTGGGGCTCGGTCTCTTCAGTAAGTTTCCTCCACTGCCACTACACACATGCGCACTGACGACCCAGGGTTAGGGTTACAATTTTGGATTTATTCACGCACTTCAAAAACATTTATTGAAAGTTTTATTCTTTTTACATGTTTATTTACAGCATTAAACATTAAAATGTATATTGTAATGGGCTGTATATTAACTTATTGGGAGAAAACTGGTAGTTCTATGTAAAATCAGACGTTGTGCACCCCCATATAGCCAAAATGGCATGATCCCTATTTCCGCTGCGATGGTTCGACTGTGAGATTGACAGTCGAATCAGGCTCCATCCAGCATCGAATCCTCGACTATTCGGGGTCAGCCCTGTTCACTTTACAGTGTTTATTTTATCCAAGTGAAGGTAACTTACAGACAACAGCTGGCAGGCAGTCCAGGTGAGAACAAATCCAAAGAACAAAAACAGATTTCAAAAGAACATTAATCCAAAATAATCAGAATAATCCAGGGAAATGGCAAAGAGACTCGACAACATACACAAATGAACAACAGCTGTTACAGAGAAGGTGACAAACAAGGCACAGGTGGGACATATTAAAGTTCAGACACATTAAAGACACACCGGCAAAGAATGATTTTCAAATAAAACAGGCACTAATACAACCCCAACTCAAAAAGCCCAAACCAAAACAGTTAGAAATATGTATTAGTTATGAGAGGATGAGCTCATAATTTGTGTCAGTTTAACCAAAAACTTCACAGATGCAAATGCTCTCTATTTGCATTGCGCCTTCATAGTCTTTGCTATCACTCAGAGCGCTTTTACACCAGTGGAACAGCCACCAGGGGCAATTCAGGATTCAGTATCTTGACCAGTCACTTCGACATGCAGCGGGGGATTGAACCATCGATCTTCCGATTAACGGGCAATCATACCTCCTCAGTCAGAGCCGCACCGTGTCACTGGTTAGTTGTGTTACTGGTGTGTAATGAGCTCTCATATTTGACATCATCAGTTTAATAAAATGCAGTTTTTAGCATTTTTTTTCTAGGTGAACCTAAATTCTACGTGCATACAATCCATTATAAACCTTGACTGCAGCTATACTTCAAATAAATCCTAATTCTTAAACAGAATTTTCTGAAAATGAAATGAGCAATACATCTATATTTGAAGCTGATGAGATATTTTGAGAGGCAAATAACTGGAAGAAGGGGAAGCACAATGTGAAACGACAATGGTGGAACGAGCTGCCACATGCCACATGCCAAGCTCTTGAACACTCATCTCTTCTGAGGTCACTTCCTCTGATAACCTCTGACATGCACTTCGTGTGCTCTTCTTCCTCTATTAACTTTAACACTTTCCTGTCTTGACTGCACTCTTTGTTAACTCTTACTGCTTCCACTGGGTATCTACCCCCTTTGATGCACTATGTGTAGAGTGAGTATTTTCTCACAAATATTGTACTTTTTACTCCACTACATTTATCTAACAGATTTAGTTACTACTTTACAAACTAAGATTTTTACATGTGTAAAATGTTTTGTTAAAAATTAAATGTTTAAAAAAAAAAGTAGGGTAAAAGTAAACCTGCTCTTTTATGAAAAGCGCTGTGAGATAACTGTTGGCGCTATATAAATAAAATTGAATTGAATTGAATTGAATTGAATGAAACCTTGCGGGACCAAGGTGGCTGCATTTGCTTTTCTTCGGCTGCACCAAATGGGAACCGCCTTTTGCCTGATCGTGCACTCTGCGGGAATTTCTTCTCATGATGATCCATCCAAGAGTTGTTGAGATATTTCACCCAAAACCAGAAATTTCAACCTCATCGTGGCTTTGGAGGAAAAGTCAGGGGATCCTTAAAGTCATTAGCATTCATCATCTGGTATCAATTAATGTCCACATTTTTATGACCAACCTGCAGACCAACTTTGCCATCTGAACAGTTGTCCTTACAACCATGAAATGGCAAAAGTTAAAACATCAAGCATATTTCTTCAAACATTTCTTGTTAAATCAGTGGATAATAATCAGCTGTAATATGGATTTAAACAGTTTACAAGCTTCAGGAGCAAAGACAAACAAAAAGACTCATCTAATCATTACAGATCAGTGCTAAACTCCTAAACCTGGATGAAGAGTGAATCCTGTACATCACAGTAGAATATTCACAGGCAGCAGAGCCGGGTTTGACAATCAGTGCCTCACAAGCAGAACTGCTTTGAAAGTAGACGGTAGAGTAATACAGCAAGGCAGAGGGGTTTGTGGGAGAGTTTACACTGGCAAAAATCCAGTTCATCTCATTTCCTGAGTCTGGCTTCTGGATGTGCTGCTGAAACTCCTTGTAGACATAATGAGTGGAGAGATGAACAAAACAGCTTCAACAACAAATCATATCAAACTCATAAGAAGCACTCTCAGTACAAAACATCCTCATTACAGCTTACAGTTTCTCTCAATCGATTTGTCACATTTACTGGAATAAACTTACAAATGTCAAATCTCCAGAAGTCAAATCCTCAAACCACATGGTACATTCAGCACACAACTCTATGGCTACGTTCAGACTACAGGCCATATGTGACTCAAGGCTTATCTTTATGTAACAGTGTGAACTGTCCAAATCCGATACAGATCGGATCTTTTTGGCTACGTTCAGACTGCAGGCCTTAATGCTCGATTCCGATTTTTCCCCAGGTCCAACATTTAATTGTTCCCCATCTAGCCTAAAGGAGCTTTCACACAGCCTTATTTTCCAGGATGCCAATATGCCGGTTCGTTGTGCTGTATGAAAGGTACCGAGCCGGAAATGAGGGTCCAATTTGATCCGTCTCTGAGTCGAGATTGTTGGTAGTAATAGAGGTGGAACGATGTGTGTGTGAAAAGCCACAGCCGGCATACTGGAACAGGTGTGGCGTTGACTCTGGACTTGTTCTGCTGTCTACAGGCTGCATATCCACAGGGAGCATTTCAGAATCAGAGCATTTTGCCTGCTGGATATTGCTGACATTAGTAATCAGTGCTTGCTTTTTTTGCTTCTACAATGATTAAGTAGCCTACGTAGTTAAATGTTTTATTTTTTTGCCTGTTTTAACATTGTTTATTGTTGTTTTAAGATCAACAGTCTGCCCAGGGTGTTTTATTTGGAAAATTGACCAGATTAGCTCTGGCAGCCATGACTTTGCAGGTGACCTGCCAACCCGGATCGCTATGTAAAAGCATTGAACATGTGTATAATTGCATTTGAAAGAAATATGATTCAGTAACAAACAAATTAGTATTAGATCCGCAAGGCTTGCTCAGTGCATTTTGTACCAAATCATTAATAAATGACTATAGTCACATGAACAACTGACCTAATGTTCATAGTCATAAAGTTTGACAAAGCAATTGAGAAAAACTGTAAAATACAAACAGGTATAGAATTGATTAATTCCAGATGGAGCGAGATTCTGTCACTGCAAGAGTGAAAACGCTAAGTCATTGTTGGCCAATATTTATTAGGGGTCCAAGCCCGAGTGGACTGGGAACCCAAGAATGCAAGGCATCGCGGTTCCCAGTACCGGGGGGCGGGGCGGCTTGCACCAGGAGGCTTGGACCCCGTTTAGCAACAGTTCTAGTTGGTTTTATTTTTGTCTATTACTGTAAACAAGAGTTTTAAAAATCTTATTCTTGAAATCCAAATACTTAAATATCTGACATCACTCAGAAATGAGTAATATAACTATTGCACAACATTTCCAGCAACATCAATTCTACAAACAAAGTAGATGCAGAAATATTCATTCATGCACTGACCTCTTTGAGGTTCTGTGCTGCTGCTTGTTTTCTTGTGTTCTTTAAATGTGAAAATCCTGGAAGAAAGAAAAAGAAAGCAAGCCGACATAAGGACATAAAGTGTAATAATTTCATCACATTTCATCAAATTCATACATCTCTTTATCTACCTAATCCACCTGTACTGTCCAGGTAGGTTGCAATCTGGACTTTGTATTTTCCAGTGTGGTTTCATGGAGCAGGACTTAACTAACACTGTTTATCATCAGAAATGAGCAAAGATGAAAGCTAGAAAAAAATCTTCAAAATCAGTCATGAAAAATACATCATGTCTAGTCACTACTAATATCATACAGTGTGTCTGCTTTGGTATTTTTAGTCATCACCTCCTCACAGGGTGGAGCTGGTGTAAATGTGGTTTTCTGTGGGCAACATGTGCGTGTTTCTTCTGCAAACTGGTAATAACTCTTACGTTTGTAGATTAGGATCAACATCAGCACAAACAGCAGCAGCAGCACAGCTACACAGACGATCACAGTAACGACGACCTGAGAGCCACCTGCAAGATAAACCACAAAAAAATGTCCAGACGTGTTTAAATAACATTAAATACGGGTTATTACCATTCAGATTTGTTTGTGTTGAGTAGATTTAAGTGGACATTTACAGAACTTAAATATTAAATTTAGGGGTGGTGATGGAGCAGTGGATAATCCACACGCCTTTGATGTGTGAGATTGTGATACATCCATCAGTGTGTCCATGAACAAGACACTTAACCCCTAGTTGTTCCTGAGGCGTGCAACCTCTGATATATATAGCAATTGTAAGTCACTTTGGTCCAGGAAATGAGCTACAAGTGTCTCATTCATTTTTTTTAACACACACACACACACACACACACACACACACACACGCTTACTGTTTATTTATTTATTTTATTTTAACTTTTTAATATATTTTTGTTTACACACACAGATGCTTAATGTTTTATTTATTTATTTTATTAAATTTTTTTAAATATATTTAAATTTTTCTTACACAAACACACATATGCTTTAATTATTTTACACTTTAATTACTTGTTTAATGAAATGTATGGGGTTGATTGTTCTTATGTAGTTTGTAAGATGCTTTGGCAATATTGTTGTTACACATTCATGCCAATAAAGCTAATTTGAATTGAATTGAATTGAATGAGACTGAGTTTATTTAGCTGCTTCAGTTCCAGGGTCCTGGTGTTGTTCATGCTGACTCACTGTTATGACTTACTGGGACAATTAAATAGAAAAGGATACATAATTATTGTTAATAAAACCTTTTTCTACTGTGACAAGTCAAAACATTTGCTTTGAATACAGTCTACTGTGTAACAGTCTTTATAGACCTGTTTAAAACACAGTCAGCATGGGTCATCATCATCTGGAGCTGTGTTGAGGAATTTAGGAGTACATTTTAAAAGTTTTTAAAACATTCCTCCTCCCACGCCTCTTGCTCTTCTGCAGCAGAAGGTTTAAGATATCAAACATGCTCTCTTACCACGACTCTCAGCAGACACAGTAGTTGACTGGGTTGAAATAACAGGAGATGTGGATGAAGTTGGTGATACTCTTTACATTTATTAAATTGGCCTTGAGTTTAAATTTCAGATTAATTTAGCCGCTTCAGTTTCAGCGTCCTGGTGTTGTTCATGCTGACTTGTGACTTACTGGGACACTTGACATAGAAACCATCACTATTATTATATTAATAACCTGTGCTCTTCCTGCTGTGACAATTCAAAACATCTGCTATTAAAAAAACGTCTATTGTGTTACAGACCTTTTGTAGTAACAGTAAAATTAATAGTTGACATTGTGGAAAATTCTCTTATTTCTTTTCTGACAGAAAGTTCTCTTTACAGCCAGTTTGGAACAGGAACATTTCAAAACATGCATAGTGAAACACTCAACAGTAGATCTGTGTTGATAAAACTCAGCAGCTTTTTGGTTGTTGCTCATACAGTCCTGCTGCTCACGTCACTGCAGCACGCTGCTCTGAACATGTGCAGGAAATGAAAACAAGAGCATAAATAGCATCAAGTGATCTTGATGCAGACTGAGTCTGCCAGTGACAGGGTATCACAGCTGACTGCCATTTGAAAAAAAGTCAAATACTTTGAGGATAATTAAGTGGCTTATTAGTAATGAAGAACAGTTTGCTTCTTCACATACAGTATCATTTTTAATTATTTTGTCTTTCAATGAAAATATGATAATTGAGGTAAAACAAAATGTGACACATTCTGTTTCACAGTGATGTTCTCATTTTTACTTGTGTTAATAATCCAGTGTGTTATGTGGCATATTTGTTCAGCTGGAGCAAAGATGATGAGCAGAGAGCTTTGTGTCATCAAGAAAGTTAAAACCAATTCAGCTGTTAGACGATCCTTTCACACTGTGGCAGACCCTAAACTCATTCAGATAAGTCAGGAGAGAGTCATAAGCATATGACAGCTTACTACATTTACTTTTTTGATTTTCAGTAGAGTTGTATTTAAACTTTAAGGAAATCCACTGTTTAATTTTGAAAAATATTTCTAAAGTCAACGACTAATCGTGTTAATTAATTGTGATCTGAATATTGACCAAAATATAGTGATTTTTGCCATAATAGAACAGGTCCAATGGGATGCTCTTGCCATGAATGAGAACCAGGGTCAGATTACATCTACACAATAAAACAACATCACTCACCTACAGTCATCACCATTTTGTGGAAGAATTTGTTGCTGCGTGTTTCGTTAGTGGTTTCTGCTCCACACCAGTATGTCCCAGTGTCGTCTGTTGTTACTTCTCTCACTGTTATGGTATATTTCTTGTCTTTGTCCTCCTTCATGGAAAACTTCCCGGTGTTCTTGTTGGGCTGTGAGGTGCTTACTAGAGGTTGACATATAGATGGATCTTCTCCCTTACAGATGAACATGTTTGTCAGAGAATCACTTCGATTTTTACAATAGTATGTGAGATTTTGTCCAACAGTTGGAGACTTTGTAAAGTTAGTAATAAAAGCTGTAGAGAGACAGACAGACAGACAGCATTTGAGTGACAACATATTTCAGAGACACCAAAATTATCTGTGTGAGTAAATCAAAGCTCAAAGTGTCAGATGTGTGCTGCTCACCTTTAACCTCCAGCTTTATCTTTCTGAGAGCAGCTCTGTAACTTCCTTCACGTGTTTCCACTCCACACCAGTAGACACCAGCATCATGTGAGGACACGTTACTGATGGACACGCTGAAGCTACTGTTGGTTTCTGTGAGAGTGAATGTCCCCTTTGACTTCAGAGAGGATTTTGTTGATAAAATATCCTCACAGATGAAACCGTTGTCTTTGCAGAAGAACTTGTATTTTTTTCCTGTGTAATCACATGTGATGGTGGTTTTAGCTGTTCTGTACGCAGTTTGAATAAATTGTCTCTGGCAGCCGTCTGTCTCTGCAAATAAACAAGGCAAAAAAGTGAAATGTAAGTAAATAGGAAAATGTTGTTTCTATATCCAACGAAGGTTAAAATGAAGGGCAACTGGACTTGGTTGAAGCTACTGGAAGACGTTTCGTCCCTTATCCAAAGGACTTCTTCAGAACTGAAGAAGTATCCAAAGGATACGAAACGTCTTCCAGTAGCTTCAACCAAGTCCAGTTGCCCTTCATTTTAACCTTCGTTGGATAACTATGACCTGAATGACTGAGAATCTTCATAGACATGTTGTTTATATAGCACCTTTTAAAACCAGAAGTAGCATGTTCTTCACAGGTGCACAGAAAATCCCAAAATATAAAACACAGCAAGAATTCAAAGGAGTGGTTAAACATAAGAAAATAAAAAGAACAACACAAAACCATTCAGATAAATTATAAAAAGGTTGTGAAAAGGCTGTTTGATACATGTGGAGTTTTAAAATTTTGTGACTCAGCTGATCAAAAAATATCACTAATAATGTGCTATGGATGGAAATGCATCTTATCTCATATATAGCAAAGTGTAATAATTCTGCTTTTTTGCAAACAGAAGACAAAATGATGTGATGTGATAGCAAGTTTACAAAATACAGAATAAAGTGTTTAAGCTTGGGAATGAATTACAGTGTACACAAACGTTCATAAGTTTGAGCTGATGGCTCCAAACTTTAAATATCTGACTTATGATTCAATCTGTTATCAACAATCTTTGGCTTGATGTGTCCCTCAAAATCAAGTTTCTGAAAATGTTATTAATTACATGTGCATTGAGTTGTTACATGTTAGGTTAGAATATTTATGTTTATTTGTTGTATTATATTTTGTGTTTCTCTTACCAACTTCCAATTCCAGTTTCTTGATTTCATTGTCATTAAATTTACACGTGTACGTCCCAGAGTCCTCTTGCTGTATTTGTTTAATGGCCACCCTGAGAGTTTTACTTTTTGTATCATGGTACAGTGAAATTCTTCTGTTTTTTTCCCAAACATCCTTTTTAGTGCTTTTTATGGTTGTTTTTTTGGGAATAACTACATTAATATGTTTATATGTTTCAGTTGTTGGATATTTGCAGGTGAATTCAACCCATCCTTTTCTGCATCCCTTCACTTTAGACGCTTCAGACGAGGCCTCACAACCTGTAGATCAGACAAAGACAAAAGTTCACATCATGTCAGACACTGAAACAATCCCAGAGCAACTGCAGCAGTCTGAATGAACTCTTTCTGCATCAGTAGACACAAAGATGAATCAGTTAATGGCTGTAGGAGGAAATATAGAGTGTGAGGATGAGCTCTGCTGTTATTAGTTTCTACTGTCTTTTAAACTTCTTTAGTCTTGTTGATCACAATACTGCTCTGGAAAACTACCCTCCTGTTGTTGTTGTTTGTTTTTTTTTTGAAGCTGTGACTATCTGGACCAATCAGCTGGTAAAACAGAGTAAATTTTGGGGCTCACATTGTTCAGGTGGCCAGACACTCGGCTCAAAATGAATGCTGGTATTGCTGTGTTTCTGCTGGATGTGTTTGGATCAACAGTTTGCTAACAAGTTCACCGTGTAAACTTTTAGCTCGTGTTCATTGTTTCTAAATGGCCAATACTTAGTAAATGCAGATGATAAATGGGGCTGATTTGTTTAAATGGCTTTGTTTAAAAATGTACTGGATTAAACTGGAATCTATCCAAATGTAAATACTGTATTCAAAGCTTAGCTACCTCAAGGCAGCAGTTCTAAGCTGCAAACCTTTCAGTGTGGTCCATGACATCTGTAAACATCTCACAATTATAAGGTGGTGGTGATACAGGCCATGTTTCTTGGAGATGTTGACAATGAATGATACCCAGGGCCATACAAACAGGGGTCTTAAGGCTTCATATTCACATAAATTAGTTACATTAGTGTCTAACAGAGTCTCTGAGCAAGAGTCCAATTCAAGTCTCAAGTCTCTTGTGGTTAATACGAATGTTGCATCACCTGCTGCGTTCAATCCGGGTTGCTAATAAAACTGCATGGCTATAAGGAATTCTGTAACTGTAACCTGTTTTTCATTTACAGAGCACAACCATGTAATGTGCAATGCAATTAATGGCAGCTTATTAACTACTGTAAATCAACACACTCCCCAGACTCTTAAACCCAGTGTAAAGTTAACTAAATGAAACTGTAAAGTTACATGGTCATCAATAAAGCTGTAACCTGTTTTTAACTTACAGAGCACAACCAATGTGCAATGCAGTCAACGACAGCTTAAACACACCCTGCAGACTCTCAAACCAGTGTAACATTATAACTAAATAAAACTGTAAGGTTACATCAACAATAAACCTGTAACCTCTTTCCAGCCAACGGTAATAATTAACGTGATGGCAGCCAGCGGGACATAAATGATTACGTTAATTGACTACCACAAGTTTGGCAAGTAAACAAACCCTCATTCATCTTTTCATAACGAACGACAGTCGGAGTTAACCTCCAGTAGGTCGTAGCTAAATGCTAGAAGCAAGCTAACGTTAGATGGCCAATGCTGAGCTCAACATGTTTACTAACCTCAGGTTACTAACCTATTTACGTTCAGCGCGTCTTTGTTTGGGTCTTGTTGTATTAAGTTTTAAAGTCAAAGTTTATGATAAATAGCTCAGCAGCTTCCGGTGTGGTCCTCTCTCACGTGTGGCTGCACATAGCAGATACAACGTGTTACGTAGGCATGTTATAGGTAACGGAGGGAGGGAATAACACCAGACGCTTCCTAAAAATAAACGCGTCCCGCACCTCAAGTCCGAGTCGAGTCTGAAGTCTTTTGAGGACGAGTTTCAAGTCCAGTCTGAAGTCACTGTGTGTGTGACTTAAGTCGCACTCTAACGAAAGTTAAAGTCAAGGGTAACTGGACTTGGTTGAAGATACTGGAAGACGTTTCGTCCCTCATCCAAAGGACTTCTTCAGTTCTGACTGACTGGCAGGGAAACTCAGCTATTTAACCTCAGTGGGGTCGTTTGCCAGGGTCATCGATACCGCTGGTTCGTTAGTGTTCCCATCCATCTTCTCTGTCTAAAATGTGCACCTGGTGGTCCTCAAACGAGTGTCCTCTGTCCTTCAGATGTAAGTAGACTGCAGAGTCTTGACCTGAGGAGTTGGCCCTTCTGTGTTTGCGTTTGTGTAGTGGTTGTTTATGCTAATCAGTGTTCCCTAAAACCCATGATGACTTCCTCAAATGTCTTATTTTGTCAGTGACCCAAAAATATTCAGTTTACTGTCGTAGAGGAGTAGAAAACAGAAGTTTTTAAATACTCAAACTGACTGATCAATTATCAAAAGACTTGGAGATTTAATCAAATCGAATCTTTGCTGCTCTAATTAATTGTATTGTCACTCATAATTCTGCCATTACAATTATATACCGAACAGTGAATCTCCGGTCCTTTTTTGAATATTGCTGCCACAGTTAGGGCAGCTAGAAATGTTATCATGAGTTTGGTTCTTGCACCTGTTTGGATCTTCTGAACATACAGGACTACACGACTTTCACTTCTGGTTGTATTTTCTTTACGTTTAAGAGTAGACACCACAACAAATAACTATCAATATTAGCAAACCATGTTTAAGTCTTTATGAGTTGTCAAAAACAATTCTACATGAATTCATTAAAAAGCATTACCTCCTGTGTACAAAGAGATGTTTTCATTAACAGACTGGATGTTGTATCATATTCAGACATCAGCTCTGATGGCTGCACATTCAGATATTCAAATCACAAAAACTACCTGTGTAGTTACCTTTTATTGACAGACTGTAGGTTGGGTCAGTGTTGTGCAGGATGAATTAGTAAATCAGAAAATATCTTTTTACCTGTCATTAGTGAGAGGAAGAGAAGAAAGCTCCTCATTTCGTTGATCTTGGATGTTGAAATCGTCAGTCAAACTATTTAACTCCAGTTGGTTTTGTCAGTTTCTCTTTTCATTAGTTGGTTGAGCTGCTGTTTCTGCCCAGACCTGCTTCCTGAGATGTTACACACGCAACTTCTCATCTTCTTCCTCTTCCTGTCACTGAGCTTTCAGTTTTGTATATAACAAGCATTATTCCTGTCAGGCTTTTTCTTTAACTGATTGGTCCATCTTGCTGTAAATCAACATATTAGCAGCCCTGGTCCTCAACAAAATGAAATACCACACTTGGTTGTTTTTATAGATATCCAAGCAACATTTGAGCATCACTTTTGACTATGTCCCCTTCTTCCTATCGGGAAATGAGGTTTTACAGGGTTCATAAAAGAGCTGCTTGTGTTATTCATTAGTTATTATGATGGAATAACCTAATTACATTCTAGGTATTTATCCTATGAAGTCAAGGGCGTAACCCGCCTCTCGCCCGATGCCAGCTGGGATTGGCTTCTGCCCCTCCACTACCATGTACGTAGGATAAGCTGTTGACGATGGACGGATGGATGGATGTTAGGTTTTGTCAAATGCAGATACGGAATCATAGATTTGGACACTGAGGCCAGATTCACCAGATTCACTTTACTGTGTTTATTTTATCCAAGTGAAGGTAACTTACAGAAAACAGCTGGCAGGCAGTCCAGTTAAGAACAAATCCAAAGAACAAGAACAAAAACAGATTTCCAAGGACCATGAATCATAACATAATCAGAATAATTCAGGGAAATGGCAAAGAGACTCGACAACATACACAAATGAACAACAACTGTTACAGAGACAGATACTTAGGAAGGTGACAAACAAGGCACAGGTGGGACACATTAACACTGAAAGCTCTTTTACACCAGTGGAACAGCCACCAGGGGCAATTCAGTCTTTTTAGTCTTTGTAACCACTCGAAGGCATTTAAACCACATTGCATTCACCATTCACACACATTCTTACCCCAGTGGAACAGCACTAGGGGCAATTCAGGGTTCAGTATCTTCCCCAAGGACACTTAAACATGCAGCCCGGAGGAGCCAAGGATTGGACCATCGATTTTCCAATTAATGGGCATCCTGCTCTACCTCCTCAGCCAGAGCCGCACTCTGTTACTGGTTAGTTACGTTACTGTTGTGTAATGAGCTCTCATATTTGACATCATCACAGTTTAATAAAAATGTATTTTTTTGCATTTTTTCAAGGCGAACCTAAATTCTACATGCGTATAATTCATTATAAATCTTGACTGCAGCTATACACTTCAATAAATTCTCATTTTAAAACAGTCCTGGTTATTCTGAAAAGAAATGAGCAATACATCTATATTTGAGGCTGATAAGATATTTTCAGAGGGAAATAACTAGAAGTAGGGGAAGCACAATGTGAAACCACAATGGTGGAACGAGCTGCCACATACCACATGGAAAGCTCTTGAACACTCATCTCTTCTGAGGACACTTCCTCTGATAACCTCTATTAACTGTTTTTGCATGTACATCTGAAACAAGTCGATTAGTCAATTAGTCAACAGACAGAATATTATATAGGGTATATAAAGTAATTAAGTAATTTTTTGTGTAAAACATTTCATAGTTCCAGCTTAAAAAATGTGAGGATTTTCTGCTTTTACTTAATTATTTTAATGTTTTATATATTTGTAAAAAGGTTTTCTGCTTTTACATTAAAGCATGAGGAATAATAATCTAATGATATAAAATAGCTGATGTGCTGACTTAATGTGATGCTAGACTTAACATAAGTTATGCTGGTTATAAATTTTGTCTGATGTCTGCTTGTGCTGCAAGACGTCACCATGTCATATGTCATTAAAGTGGATAATAATCAACTGTAATATGGACTTAAACAGTTTACAAGCTGAGCTTCAGGAACAAAGACAAACAAAAGACTCAACTAGACATTACAGATCAGTGCCACAGTCCTAAAACTTTGTGAAGAAGAGTGAATCCTGTACGTCACAGTAGAATATTCACATGCAGCAGAGCCGGGTTTGAGGATCAGTGCCTCACAACCAGAGCTGCTTTGAAAATAGACAGTAGAGTAATACAGTGAGGCAGAGGGGTTTGTGGGAAAGGTGGCACTGGCAAACATCCAGTTCACCTCATTTCCTGAATCTGGCTTCTGAACGTGCTGCTGGAACTCCTTGTAGACATAATGAATGGAGAAATAAAAAAAAACAGCTTCAACAACAAATCATATCAAACTCATATAATAAGCACTCTCAGTAAAAAACATCGTCATTACAGGTTACAGTTTCTCTCAATTGATGTACTATCCTCACACCACATGGTACATTCAGCACACCACTCTATGGCTACGTTCAGACTGCAGGCCAAAGTGACCAAAATCCGATTTATTTGCTCACATGTGACTCAGATCTGATCTTTTTAAAACAGTGTGAACAGGCCAAGTCAAACGGAATCTGATGTTTGATGTTTGTTTTCGAAAGAGATTGGATCTTTTTGACGTCGTTCAGACTGCAGGCATTAATGCTTCGATTTCAATTTTTTTTCCCCAGATACGATTTTTTTGTTGACAGATATGGGCCACGTTTAATCAATAATGTGAACTGTCAAACAAAAAAAATCAGATTTGGGAAAAAAATCTGTATCGAGCATTAAGGTCTGCAGCCTGAACGAAGCCTATGTGACCAGCAAAAGGTGATTACTCAATCAAATTGATATCTGCCATAGCACAGGGACACTGTGGAGCGGCCCAGATTAGCTCCAGAGGCGTGCGATGGTAAGTCGCTTTGGATAAAAGCGTCAGCCAAAGCCTAGTTCACACTACACTGTGTTTGAGAACTGATTGGTTGTGAGTTTCATCTGTCAGCTAAATTGGAAAACGGTTTTGTTTGCATGCTCTAAATTGTGTGAAAAGCCACAGCCGGTGTGGCGTTTCAACACTCTTGTCAAGTCACGGTCTTTTTTTTTCACAGTCTGACTCCAAAAGTCCTCTGACTCAAGTTGCACCACACATGTGCTGCTATGCATGGTGTTAGTGTCTTTTAATTTTGTTGTTCTGTAAAGCACTTTGGTCAGTCATTGGCTGCTATAAAATGTGCTATATAAATAAAAATGAACTTGAACTTGAACTTTTATTACGTCCTCAGCCAAGCGTTAGCGTCCACTGCAGTGTCTCTGAATGGCCTTGTTGTTGTTGTTTTTTTCCTAAATTACAATTATGTGTCTAATATAAGTTTGACAGGTTATTGTGATAGTTGGTCGCTCCATTTAGCATGTATGTAATGACCTTATGTTCATAGTCGTATAGTTTGACAAAGTTTAATAGTCATTTGACGATTATGCCAAAGCAATTGAGAAAAACTGTAAAATGCAAACAGGTTAATAGTTGATTAATTCCAGATGTAGCAGAAAGCGAGATTTTGTCACTGCAAGTGTGAAAACGTTGTGGTTGGCCAATATTATTTTGTATTGTTTTTGTCTATTACTGCAAACAAGAGTTTTAGAAGTTCTTTCTTTATTACTTGAAATCTAAATACTTAGATATCTGACATTCAGAAATGAGTAATCCAGCTACAGCACAATTTTCCCAGCAATAACAATTCCACCAATAAAGTACCACCAAATGCAGAGATATTCATTCATACACTGACTTCTTTGATGTTCTTTGCTGCTGCTCCTTTTTTGTTCTGTAAATGTGAAAATCCTGGCGGAAAGAAAAAGAAAGCAAGCCGACAGAAGGACATAAAGTGGATTCCTCTTATCTCTTTTCATCAAATTCATACACACTTTCTCTACTAACTTGATCTACCTGCACTCTCCAGGTAAGTTGCACTCTTGATTTTGTATTTTCAGTGTAGTTTCATGGAATAGGACTTAACTATTGCTGTGTATCCCCAAAATTGAGCAAAGATGAAAACTACAAAACTAACGTCACACAGAAGGTCTGCTTTGATCTTTCTAGTCATCACCTCCTTACAGGGTGGAGCTGGTGTGAATGTGGTTTTCTGTGTACAATACGTCTTCTACAAACTGGTAATAACCCTTACGTTTGTAAATTAGCACGAACAGCAGCAGCACAGCCACACAGACGATCACAGTAATGATGACCTGAGAGCCACCAGGAAGAAAAAAAAAAATCCAGACTTGTTTAAAACAGAGTCAACACGGGTCATTATCATCCAGAGTTGTCTTTGTTGAGAAAGTGACGAGCACATTTGCAGGAATAAAATTTTTAAACAGCTTTTAAAACATTCCTCTTCCTCATCTTGCTCCTTTGCAGCAGAAGGTTTAAGATATCAAACATGCTCTCTTATCACAACTCTCAGCAGACACAGTAGTTGGCTGGGTTGAAAAAACAGGAGATGTGGAGGATGTTAGTGACACTGAAAAAATAGTAAGAAAATAGACAGAAAAGCACTTAGAGCAGACTTAGAGGTCAGATTTCACATAACAATCTTTTTTTCCCTTTTCCCTTGCACAGGATGGGTTGATTCATACATCGACCTTGAGAATAAATGTTACAACTTTTATATTGGCCCGCCACTGGATCTGAAACACAATAAAAGAGGAAACTAAATAATGAATACATAAAACATAAAGTATAACAAATGAGACTGCGTCCATTCTGCTGCTTCAGTTTCAGGGTCCTGGAGTTGTTCATACTGACTCACTGTCATGACTTAATGTGACACTTGAATAGAAGCCATCATTGATGTTATTAACACCTGTGCTGTGAGAATAAAACACTCAACACTAAATCTGTGTTGATAAAACTGATCAGATTTGGTTGTTGGTGATAGTTCTGCTGTCACATCACTGCAGGACGCTGCTCTGAGCATGTGCAGGAAATAAAAACGAGCAAAAATAGCGACAACCTCATCAACAGTTTGCTTCTTCACATACAGTATAAAGGGTCTGATTTATTCCGCAATTTTAAATTATGATTTTGGCTTTCAATAATTATGAAAACAAGATCAGCTAGATAAATAACTTTTGTGACGCATTTGGTTTTGCTATGATGCTCTCGTTTTGACTTGTATTAATAATCCAGAGCGTTATGTAGCGTATTAGTTTAACTGGAGT